CTTATCGCTCGGTTTCTGCGTGGAAATGCGGCTCCATGTTGGCGTGAACATATGAAACGGGCGAAGACATTATATTTAATCAACTCCGAGGACAGTTTCAGCATTTGCAAAACCCGGCGTGATTTTTGGTGGCTTTTTTTTTGAGGGAAATAGGTTAGTTACCGCTCTATGGTTGTGTTTCAATTACATGTGGACGGAATTATAAAATACCCCGTTATTCTAACATGAGTGAGCTATTAGTTTTGATTATTTAACGGAACACACGTGGAATATTTTTACATAATGGGCTCCCGTCGTCACGGGTTAATCTTTATATTGATCTTTAGTCCGCGCCGCTTTGAAATAACAGTTGTTACAGGAGCTCATTTTTGCATGTCGGGTCACTCCAATGTGTCTAATGTCTGAAGCCGTTACAGCCTCTCAACGCCTACCTTTAGCTTTAATATTATAACCTTATCGTAGTTCATATATGTGGGAAAACCACCATTCTTGCAGTCGGTTAAAGAGATGACACGGTTTGACTTGAACACGAGAGCTGTGGAAGATATCGCCAATTGAGAGGTTTTTGTCCAAGTAGGTAGGAAATTGTAGCTAACTTGTTAGCATAGCATGCTAGGTTAGCTAGTTAGCTTGTTGGAAGGCTCAGAGCGGCAGCGGGCTGACGACCTCACTGTATTCGTTTGAAATGCAGTTTCAGAGAAGCTAACTTTACTCTGTTGTCGTGAATTGCGTATATTTTTGTATGAATAAAAAAAAGTTACGGGTTAATAGAACTTTAAAATATTTGATTAGCACATGCGGCTAAGTGCTTGTGAGGAGCATTAAATGAAGTACAGACCGCCTTGCCTGGCTGGCATGTGTACTGACGGGTACGGCCGCCGCTGAAGCAAAACTAATGTTAACTCGCACGTTAGCTTTTGATTAGCTTTTATCACTGCACACTAGACACCACGTTAAAATTGCATCTACACAACTTTGAACTATTCTTTGGTGGTGAAGTTAAAGGGAATGAAACGCAAGTAATTAGCCTTCATTTGACAATTATATCTGGAATGCTAAGGCCGGTAGCGCCCTTTCGCACATTCGCATCTTCCCGTGACACATGACATGTGGACAATTGTCAGCCTACCTACAAATACAGCAGGAACTATTTAAGTCTATTTATTGCTACTCTGTTAATAGATGTGCTGATAGTAGAGAGTTTATTTTAAACAGAGTTGTCTTAAAGGCACTTGGGGGCAGTTTGAGTAATTTATGAGCACACACTGTGCTGATAGTGACTTGTCACACACCAAAGTTCAACTCATTCATTCATCGCTAGCTCCCTGCAGACTAACATGATGACAAATGTATTTAACTTGGCTCCAGTCAGACAGACGACCTTTCGCCTAAAATGGTAACCAAACAAAATCTGATTTGCCCAGTTGAAAGTACTAATATGCAAAATACCACACAAAGAAGTGAGCAATTGTTTGTTAATATTCTAGGCAACAGCCGCCTTTATTACATCGAATCAACAGTGGAACATCTGTATTTCGTTTCCTTTTACTATTTAAGTGTATTTAAGGCATGCGTCTCTTTTAGAGAAGTACTGCAGGGATTGGTGCCAGGCATGGCACACATATCCATTTGGTGTATTCAGCTTTTTGCATTGCTGACCTAGATTTTCTCATTGTTTTGTGACACGCCCCTTCCTTCAGAGCATTTTACTCAGGTTGCCTTCTCATCCACTTGCTAATAAGCCATTGCTAAAATGTTCGTTCTCAGTAGGGTAATTTGTCATGACACTGATAGGGAAACTGTGTCCCACGTGAATGTGTGGCAGGGCCTGTCTGGTTCTCAGAAAGCTGGAGCAGATTATTTACCTCCACTACATGGGGAGAGTTGGGCTGCGAGTAATAAGGGTGCCACTCATGAGTCTGACTTTTCATATCAAACTTAAAAGATACGAAAATATGTTTTGTTCACTTTGTTTGTTTGTTTTAAGGAGTGATTACACACCAAGCAGCTTTTGTATGTATAATGAACTGTAGTGTAGTTACTGGTTTTGTAATGGGGCATTTATGTTTGTATTTTTCTTCTCCTAGGGGCTGAAAGTTGTTTCCGAGGACAAAAGCGCTATGATGCGCCTCTGAGGATATCACGATCACATGGGTAACACATATCACTATTTATTGTCCTTCCTTTGCCCTCCCACCCCCTTC